CTTCCCTGCATTCACTCACTCCACCTTGAGTGCCACATCAGAATCTTCAAGGTGACTAGAGAATGACTTAAATATATAATTAATTGGGAGTTAATACATATATCGTATTCCATAATTCAATCATGGCAAGCAGTATTGTACAATTGCTACCACAATCTGTTTCCAAACATTCTTTTCTTTCCTGAACTCCTTGACATTGGGTCCCTTTGAACAGGTGTCCCAGGTGCCTCCTCAAGCCTGTGCTTTTTCTTCTTTTTAATCATTTTATTAGGGGCTCATACAACTCTTATCACAATCCATACATACATCAATTGTGTAAAGCACATTTGTACATTCATTGCCCTCATCATTCTCAAAGCATTTGCTCTCCACTTGCGGCATCAGGTCCTCATTTTCCCCTCCCTCCCCGCTCCCCCCTCCCTTATGAGCCCCCGACAATTTACAAATTGTTATTTTGTCATATTTTGCCCTGTCCGACATCTCCCTTCACCCACCCTTCTGTTGTCCATCCCCCAGGAAGGAGGTCACATACCTTGTAATCGGTTCCTTTTCCAACCCACTCTCCCTCTACCCTCCCAGTATCGCCACTCACACCACTGGCCCTATAGGGATCATCCGCCCTGGATTCCCTGTATTTCCAGTTCCTATCTGTACCAGTGTACATCTTCTGGTCTAACCAGACTTGCAAGGTAGAATTCATATCATGATAGTGTGGGCGGGGAGGAAACATTTAGGAAGTAAAGGAAAGTTGTATTTTTCATTGTTGCTACATCACACCCTGACAGGCTCCTCTCCTCCCCGAGATCCCTCTGCAAGGGGATCTCCAGTGGCCTACTAATGGACTTGGGTCTCCACTCCACACTCCCCCCATCTTTCACTATGGTAAGATTTTTTGTTCTGATGATGCCTTATACCTGAGCCCTTCGACACCTCGTGGTTGCATAGGCTGGTGTACTTCTTCCATGTGGGCTTTGTTGCTTCTGAGCTTGATGGCCGCTTGATTACCTTCAAGCCTTTAAGACCCCAGACGTTATACTTTTTGACAGCCGGGCACCATCAGCTTTCTTTGCCACATTTGCTTATGTACCCATTTGTCTTCAGTGATCCCTTTGATCCTGTGCTTTTTCTTTTTATTTTTTTAAACATTTTATTAGGGGCTCATACAACTGTTATCACAATCCATACACACATCAATTGTGTAAAACGCATTTGTACATCATTCTCAGGCCTGTGCTTTTTCACCAAGAAAATAAACTCATTGGAGCAGGAGATGGCCCTGAAAGAGGAGGAACTGCCCACTCGGTGGTGAGGGAGCCCAGCTGTTGAGAGATGAGGAAGCCGAGGGTTGGAACACCTTCAAGCCTTACGCAAGTTCTCCGTTTATAGTCCAGCCAAGACCCAGACCCCAGTCAACATCAGACACAGGCCTGTTTTCTTTTCACAGTAAGTAGAATTTCACTAGAATTCATAGCACAGGAAATGAAGCCGTGGTTTTCACTCCTTTGCACCAATGGGGGGGGAAGCTAACGCACCAAGAGGAGAAACGACTTGCCAGGGTGATGAAGCCTGTTTGGTAGCAGGGCAGATACTCAGGGAGGTGATTGTCTACCTAGTTGGCCCTCATTCCACAACCCCCAGGGTGAGGTTAAACGCCAGGAAGAAGAAATGGACTGGAATTGATTGTAGTTGGTTGCACAGGTCTTATGGATGTTATTGAACAACTGAAATGCATCAAGTGTGAATTGTCAGTGGAATTGTTAAAAATAAGCTATTAAGTTAAAACAAACAAACAACTCATTGTTACCAAGTTGATTCTGACTTCGAGTGGCTCTATAGGACAGAGTAGAACTGGCCCCGTGGATTTCCAAGACCATACATCATTATGGGAGTAGAAGGCCTCTTTTTTCCAGTAGGGGTAGATAGATTGCACACTTTCCTGACAAAGCTCAGTCCCATTCCAACTGTCAGAAGCACTGATAAGAGCCAGCAAGGGAGCAGAGGGACTAGGGTAGGGGTTGGTGGCTGGAAAGACATGCCAGAGGGGAAAGCCAGTCGCGTGGGGACAAATCCTGCTTCTCCACAGTTAGGCTCTTAGCACAGGCTGACACTCATGGACAGCCTCCCACACGCTTCCTCCCACTGTGCTGGGAAGTGAGAAAACCAGATGGTCTGGCCTGCCTGTGGTTGCCCCAAGAAGGGACCTGGAGGCCAGAGAAGCGGGTGGCCGAGGTGGTGCTCATTGCATCGTGACTACAATACCCAAGGCAAGCACTGGTGATTCCCTTTACAGTCCTCACTACACACTGGGAAGCTGTGGCTCAGTTGAAGGACTCTTGCCCCAATACTAGGCTCCTCCCACCTCCTCTCCACCCAATAGCTCCGCAGGCCACAATTGGTGTGGGGTGGTCACTATCTTCTCGAGTCTTCTATATTGGCACACCACAGAACAAAGAAGTGGCTCACCCAGCTTTTCATTCTCCCCAGGCCCTCTTGATTGACTTTTACACACACACACACACACACACACACACACACACACACACACACACACACACACTCTCTCT